TTTAATAGGAAAACTGTAATTGAAATCTGCATAGCTTCTGATAGTAGCAAAAAAATCACATCTCCACTTTAGAAAATTTATAGATCAGTAACATATTATATTTCTCAAAGGAATTGTAGGCCATTTCATTTCAAAGCATAGATAAAACTGAGGGAGAAAGGGGAAGCAAAACAGGGTTTTATCATTAAGATTAGATCTTAAAAAACAAAAATAATAAACAACTGTAGATTGAAAAATAACAGTAAGTCCCATAATCAAGCTGCCACATAAAAATTATGTTAAATAAGTTGGTGTATATTGGGAGATCCAAAAATAAAATGATCCAAAATATTTTCTCTATTGGTCTTTCAAGATTTATAAAATCATAACCACTGAATTATCTGAAAAATGTTAAAAGTGTATATATTTATTTTTTATAAAACCAGTACAATTTATATGGATATATATGTATATATAAGAATAGGTTCATATGCCTTAAATATTGGAAAAGTTTGATACAAACATTTAGAAGCAGATATGATGCAATTTGAAAGTTGTTTGAGAAAAGGATATTTCTAATCAATTTAAAATACATAAATTTTTACTTTGAAACCTAAACTTCAAGAGTCAGAGAAAGAATAGAAATCAGGTAGAACATGCCTCTTGGTTATAAAAACATATATCATATATTTAAATATACTGAGGCTGGGGAAATATTTATGATTGCGATCTCTATGCTTTATAACGGGAAAAATCATTTGCTACTCAATAAAGAGGAGTTAAAGAAAATGAATGAGAGATAATATTATATCAGCTAAGTCTATGTAAGGTCTTTCATATAATATGCTAGGTTCTTCTGAGGGAACAGTTAGTACTACAATCAGAAGTACCAAGGGTACCTAATTATAGGCCAATGAGGTACCTGGCACACTGAGAAGTGGGGTGTATACACCTACTATTTTAAAAATTTTGGTCTGCACATCTATATTCAAAGTTTAAAATGTACTACTTTAGAAAACAACAAGATTGAAACTTCAATAAGATAAATATAAATAGAATTCATGGCTCCTTTTGTATATCCCCATTGGAGATCTCTGTAACTGAACCCTGAAAAGAAGAGATAAAGTTGTACATTTCAAGCAGAATGTGAAAAGCTGTGTGATATCTGACTTTTAGACTTATATAGGAAAGTGCTAAAATGTACTCAAGCGTTTTAACGCTTTAAATGCTGCTCTATATCGTGCGTTGCTTGTAAAACTGTCATGCAAAATTTAATAATTAATCAACATTCTAATATAAATTACCATACATAATATAATAATCTAATTTTATAAAGAAAACTGATTTTGTAGAATGTCACATTAAATTCTTTTCATTCTAAAGAAAGCCTGGCTACTTGGTTCCTGGTAAGTACATTATGGTGAAATGCATAAATGTTATCCTGGTAACAACTTCACAAATTATAGACATAGTGTTAAGAGAAATGATTTCTAAAAGATTAATTTTGTAAAAACATATGTAGAGGAATCAAATGACTCATAGAGATGTACACATTTGGCTAAGATAACATTCTCTCAACTGTGTTCCTCAAGATGTTCTACACAAAAGGTTTCCATGGAGAAATAACGGAGACATACTGAGCTAAACAATGCTCACATTTCTGCAGGACATTTTGGTGTCCTCACTATGAAAATGTACACTGTGGATCGCTAGGACAGGCAAAGGTCATGCACATTTCTAAGCTTACTTGACCTTTTTATGAGGACCTCCTAGAACACTTGATGAATCTAGTGTTCTGTAAGACAGTTTGGGAACTGTTGAGATCTTCTGTCATTTAGGAACAATACCTATTTCCTAGTCAAAATCTTGTTTTTAAACCACTTTATTGAGGTATGATTGACATACGAAAAGCTGTACATATTTAATGTACGCAACATGATGGGTTTGGAGGTAATCACGGTCATGCACTACATAAGGTTTATTCAGTCAACAATGGACAGCATATATGATACTGGTTTCATAAGATTTTATTATCGTATTTTTGCTTTACCTTTCCTATGTCTAGATATATAATATTTGCCACTATATTACAATTGCCTGCAGAATTCAGTATAGCTACATGCTGTACAGGTTTGTAGTTTAGGAGCAATAGTCTATATCATATAACATAGGTGTGTAGTAGGCTATGCCATCTAGGTTTGAGCAAGTATATTCTATGATGTTTGCTCAATAATGAAATTGCCTAATGGCATATTCCTGTTGTTAAACCATGCCTAACTACATACTCCTGTGAAACCATGTCCACAATGTATGCCATAAACTTATGCATCTCCTCCAAAAGTTTTCTCCTACTTCATTTACCATTATTGTTATTTTTATAATCTATTTGTAGTAGATTGTATGTTGATTGCATAACAATTAACCTAAAACCTACCTTCTAAACAAAATTTTAAGTATACAGTGCACTATTGTAAACTTTAAGTCCTATGGTATACAGTAGATCTGTAGGATTTATTCATCTTGCTCAACTGAAACCTAGTAAAAATCTTAACTCTTATTATTTTTCCATTTTTTTTTTTTGAGTTGGAGTCTCACTCTGTCGCCCAGACTGGAGTGCAGTGGCCACTCCCGGCCACCGCAGCCTCGACCTGCTGGGCTCCGGCGATCCTGCCGCCTCAGCCTTCCAAGTAGCCAGAATTATAGGCATGCGCTACCACGCCCGGCTGATTTTTTGATTTATTGTAGAGATGAGGTCTCGCCTGCCCAGGCGGGTCTCGAACCCGCGGGCTCAGGCAATTCACTCACCTCAGCCTCCCAAAGGCACGGGATTACAGACTGAGCCACTGAGGCCGGCTATTTTTCCACTTTTTTAAAGTACAAAATGGACAAGTGAGATTATGAGAGGCAAGAGTGGCTATTCCTGTGGGAACATGTGGTGGGGAAGAAGGAGGAAAAATCTAGGATCTTGGGTCATGGGGTGCTGCTGCTATGAGGAGACCGTGGATAATCAAGTGAATACTGGGGCTTGTGATGGGAGATAGGGAAGCTCATCTGAAGGAGTGAAAAAAATGATATGTAAAGGGTAACATAGGCAAGGAAGAGAAACTTTATCTTTAAAATATTTTATTCAACATGGGCCTTACTATTTTCCTATTTGATTATCATGCTAGAACCGGTCATCTTTTTATTGTTCAATCTATATTTTCCCTTGAGCCCAGTGGGTATGTTTGAGTCTTAGTAATGCTGAATATGAAAACTGATGAACTAATATCACTATATTGATGTTTATGGACCTCTTCAGACTTTGTCAGTGACTGCTTTCATTTTCTTCAATGTAAAAATATTCAGAGGCAGAAGTAAATAAATAAAATAACATTTCCTCAATTTTATTTCCTTGATACCTGAAATAAATGTGAATAGAGAACATATGTGTTATAGCTATTTAGGGGATCAATGTCCTGTGGTATTTTCTGAAATGATGGGAATGTTCTATATCTGTGATGTCCAATTCGGTAGCCACCAGTCATCTGTGGCTATTGAGCATTTGAAACGTGGCCAGTGTGAATGAAGAACTGATTTTGAGATTTTAATTAATTTAAATTTAAATAGCCACAGGTGGCTAGTGGCTACTGTATTGGGTAGTACAGATTCAGAGAATTATAGACAACACACATGGTTAATTAGGAAATTGTTCTTGAGAATAGAAGAGGAAATATAAACACAATGTATTTTAGTTTCCTAATTAATTCACACTGTTTTAGTGACCTTTATATGGTATGATTATAAAGTGAATGATGTCTACCATTAAACATTAATACTAGAATTATTATTATTTTTTTACATTCACAACTCCATGTCAACTCTGTGATGAGAGAACTAAAAAGACAGGAGAACAACCACATCATAATGAAGTTATAACTATATAATTCCAAAAGAGAAAAATATAAATTAGTTAAGAGTATCTTGGCAAGCATAGCCAGCTGCCTGCCCAATATGCATTCTTTCCTTCTTAACTAAAAGAATCCAACGTTTGCTCAGACCAGCAAGGCTTCAGGATTCAGTCACCAGTTTTCATATTCTGAATTATGAATAAGAAACTTACCTATTCAGTTAAAATACTCAATGCTCTCAAGATCTTTTGAAGTTAAAAGTGGTCACGTGACACATTTCTGTCTAATGCAGTGTAACTAGAATCTCCAGAAAGGCTAGTTTTCCTTCCAAACAGAAGCTGACACTGCTGGAATGTGCTTTAACTTTCCATTTCACCTTCTTCCACTTTAAACAGAGTGCCTGGAGGCAAAGTAGCCATCTTGAGATCACATAAAAGATAGTCTCACACTGAGGATGGCTGGGGGTGGAGAAAGGAGTCGAGATAGATGGTTTTGTGGTTGCTGGACCAACCCTGGGACATACAATTCTAGAGGTTTTGCTCCGGAAGAAAAAGTAATTCCAATCTGAATAAGCCACTGTAGTAAGGATTTTGTCACATGTAGTCAAACATAATCTTAACAATATTAATTAGGGAAAAAATCCTTTAATTTTTAAAATTCTTAGAGTATCCAAAATTATAATTGCTTTGCTTGATGTAGCAAATTTAATTCTCAGGAGGTTTTCATTCATTACTGACTGAAACCAGACATAAATCATACAGCATTTAACAGTTAAAATAAACAAAATATGAATATAGCTCTATAACAGATTGTTAAATTACAAATGCTAAGTAAAACTAGTCATCTGTGATGATATAATAAATCAACAATCTTTATAAAATGACTAGTATATTTTTAACTGCTATGTCAAACAGAATATTTTGCCTGCTCTTAAAGGAAATTCAAATTCACTTCAAGGGTAAAACATAAAAAATGTTAAAAGTCAAATAGCAATATATGTTTTAAAAGAAAAGTTCAAGATAACAAAAGCAGCTTTATAAGAAAAGATATAAAGGACAAAATAATTTTGCAGTGAAAAATTTATTAAAAAGAACAATAGGGGGCAGAAGTTGTCTGAGTGCGCTGGTCGGAGGTGGTCAGGCCAGAACCGAGACTCTGTGACTCTATCATTAAATAGGTGGGGTGGTTACTACTCAGATCTCCAAAGATGAGCTTGATGGACTCAAAGAGGCCCTTTGCAAAAGTTGATCTCAACAGCAACGAATTCATTCGTGACTATGAACTTCATGAGCTTTTCAAGGAAGAGAATATGTCATTTCTGGGACATAAAGTGAGAGGAATTACTCAGAAGCTCATGCTGGATGGTGACAGGAATAAAGATGGGAAGATAAGTTTTGATGAATTTGTTTATATTTTTTAAGAGGTCAGAAGCAGTGATATTGCCAATCCCTTCCACAAAGCAATCAACAGGAAATAAGGTATTTGTGCTCTGGGAGGAACTTCGGTGTTGTCCAGTGAAGGAACACAGCATTCTTACTCAGAGGAAGAAAAATATGCTTTTGTTAACTGGATAAACAAAGATTTGGAAAATGATCCTGATTGCAGACATGTTATACCAATGAACCCAAACATCGATGACCTGTTCAAAGCTGTTAGTGATGGAATTGTGCTTTGTAAAATGATAGACCTTTCAGTCCCTGATACAATTGATGAAAGAGCAATCAACAAGAAGAAACTTACACCATTCCTCATTCAAGAAAACTTGAACTTAGCACTGAACTCTGCTTCTGCTATTGGATGTCACGTTGTGAACACTGGTGCAGAGGATTTGCAGGCAGAGAAACCTCATCTTGTGTTGGGACTGCTTTGGCAAATCATGAAGATCAGTTTGTTTGCTGGGATAAAATTAAGCAGGAATGAAGCCTTGGCTTCATTGCTCTGAGATGGTGAGAATTTGGAGGAACTTATGAAATTGTCTCCAGAAGAGCTTCTGCTTAGACGGGCAAACTTTCATTTGGAAAACTCAGGCTGACATAAAATCAACAACTTTAGTGCTGACATCAAGGATTTCAAAACCTATTTCCATCTTCTCAATCAAATTGCACCAAAAGGACAAATGGAAGGTGAACCACGGATAGATATTAACATGTCAGGTTTCAATGAAACAGATGATTTCAAGAGAGCTGAGAGTATGCTTCAACAAGCAGATAAGTTAGGTTGCAGACAGTTTGTTACCCCTGCTGGTATCGTCAGTGAAAACCCCAATTTCAACTTAGCCTCTGTGGCTAACTTTTTTTTTTTTTTTTTTTTTGAGTTGGAGTCTCACTCTGTCACCCAGACTGGAGTGCAGTGGCCGCTCTCGGCCACCACAGCCTCGACCTGCTGGGCTCCGGTGATCCTTCCGCCTCAGCCTTCCAAGTGGCCGGAATTACAGGCATGTGCTACCACGCCCGGCTGATTTTTTTTTTTTTTTTTTATTTATTGTAGAGATGAGGTCTCGCCGCCCAGGCGGGTCTCGAATCCACGGGCTCAGGCAATCCACTCACCTCAGCCTCCCAAAGGCGCAGGATTACAGGCTTAGCCACTGAGCCCGGCTGTGAGTTTAATAAAATCCTGGCACTAACTAAATCAGAGAAAAAGGATATTGATTAGAGTCTATTAGAAGGAGAAACTCATGAAGAACCTTCCATAATTGGATAAACTCTCTTGGTGTTAACCCTCACATAAACCATCTCTGTGCTGACCTGCAAGATGCCCTGGTAATCTTACAGCTATACGAATGAATTAAAATTCCTGTTGACTGGAGTAAAATTAATAAACCTCCATACCTGAAACTTGAAGCCAGCATGAAAAAACTAGAAAACTGCAACTATGCTGTTGAATTGGGGAAGCATCCTGCTCAATTCTCCCTTGTAGGTATTGGAGGGCAAGACCTGAATGATGGGAACCAAATGCTGACTTTCGCTTTAGTCTGGCAACTGATGAGACGATATACCCTCAGTGTCTTGGAAGATCTTGGAGAGAGTCAGAAAGCTAATGACAACACCATCGTGAACTGGGTGAACAGAACGTTGAGTGAAGCTGGAATATCCACTTCCATTCAGAGTCTGAAGGACAAGAAGATAGCTCCAGCTTGGCAGTTGTGGATTTAATTGATGCCATCCAGCCAGCCTGCATAAACTACGACCTTGTTAAGAGTGGCACTCTAACAGAAAATGACAAGCACAAAAATGCCAAGTATGCAGTGTCAATGGCTAGAAGAATCGGAGCCAGAGTGTATGCACTCCTGGGAGACCTTGCGGAAGTCAAGCCCAAGATGGTCATGGTCGTGTTTTCATGTTTGATGGGCCGGGGAATGGAAACAGTATATAGTAACCAATCTGAATAAAACAACCTTGCTCCCAGGTCCATGATTCGTAGGTAAGCTATTTCCAGGTGTGAAATGCTCCTGGTTTAAGGAACTCTTGGACGCTCAGAGAATTTCTGGTTTTGATTAAGAAGACTAGCTCAGCAAGAGAGCCCTCATGGGGGAAAGGTTTTAATATAAACAACTCCTCTTTCCCATAGTCCAAGTTGGATTTGTAAGGCACACCTGAAATAAATGTGCTCATACCTAGACTGTTTTCCTCTCTTCCTCCTATAATGCTGCCCTTGACATCGCCTGTTGCTCTATTATTCTTGCTATGTATCTTTTCCCTTTTAGAATGTCCTTCTCTTGGGATTTGCTTAGATGATTGGATATGAATATTATTAGATAAGAATCTTCCTTTCCATCCAGTATGCTAGTTCTTATTTGAAAACTATGATCAGAGGTTATTTGGATTCGAATATCCTTTGCTTATCTTTTTACTACTGGAAAGTTACCCAAGTAACTGGCTGGGCAGAATGTAACAGAAGCTTTTCTTATTTGTAAGATCAGTATCTTTTTTACAGATTCTTTCTACATGATCCTTTTTTGTACATTTAAGAATATTTTGAGTACATTTAACAAGACTGCTGATTTTGCTACATTTTTAAAGGGGTCTTCAAGTAAGTGAAAAAACATACATTGTCGATAGAGGATAAATATACCTTAAATTTGCCATCTTCCCTCCCATACCCAAGCTGTAAACAATTGAAATACTTTATATCACTTGGTTCAATAATGCTTATTTGTTTCAAAACCTCTGTATCACCAAACTCTCTCGTTAAATTTAAAATGCTGTTAAATATGGCACTTGAGGAGAGAGTGTGCTCAGAGCTTAGACAGAATTCAGTAGGCCAAGTATATTAAGTGTGCAATATATTTTTAAAATTTTCCACCCAAAACAAGGAAATATGATCGCTAAAAATAAAAATATTTATCTAGGACTTAATGTACTTTTGCTTTGTCAAGCTGTTTGCTATAGTTTTTGAGATATTATGTTACTCTACCTCTGAAAATTGATGTAATCTGGTAAAAATGTAATAGTTCAAATAAAGGCATTTACATAATAAAAAAGAACAATATATATTAGAGGTAACAAAACAGACTTCACCAAGAAGGAAGGAATAGATCACAAAGGCTTCAATGCTCTGGTTTCAATAGAAATCAGTCAACTTTCTGTTTCTAATCATTATTAATCAACTTTAAGAAGTGTGAATGAATCCTAACTCAATTGGAATGGTTACTTTATACTTGGATTTGGTGGGAACTCACACGTTGAAATGGTTGCATAGTTCTAAGCTTCCCAATGCTAAAAATAAAATGTATCAAAATGTATTTTGATTTAAATAACAATTTTACAGTAAAATCTCATTATATATAGCTCCTTGCCTGCTCACATTCTTTTAAGTTACTGTTATTTACCCCCCAAAACTGTCCTCTTCTTGTGCCTAACACATATCATATAACTTAAAATAAAATTGAACTTGAATAAGTGTGGTAAATTGGCAGGCTAATTTTTATGTAGAATTTCTCAAAGGGCCCTTTTGGTTCTATCTGTGTAAGCATTTTATGATTTTCCTATAATATGACATGACAGAAAAGCTTAGCCTCAACAAAGTTGCTATAGATTATTTTTCTTCTCACCACATTCTAATTTGTTTAGACTTAGGAGAAAAGTATGAAAGAGTTAAATGTCAATTATTCTCTTTTCTCCACTTTCTTAAGTATAGAATAAATTCAATTTATCTATATGCTTTTGCCACAAACCTTCTCCGTGGACTTAGGTTTTCTTATTTCTGGTTTGAGGGTTTAAAAATAATCCTAGAGTTGAAAATATATTAAACTGGCATGGGAAAGGAGTAACATCTATCATTACAAAGTTTACTCTGCTTCCATAATTGAAGGGAAAACATGTCAGGCAAATCAAAGCATTTCTATTCTTGAGATAAAAATACAGTATATACCCTTTTCTTAAATAAATTGTAGGAGATATATAATTCTTCTATGTGATGCTACTTGTTTACACTGAATAGAAAATAGAAAAATAAGGAAATTTCAAAGTATTTATGCACTACTAAAATTGTATTCAAAGTTACTTTTATAAATACAACAAGAAATTGATCCAAATTACTTTAGAAACCCTTGCATTATTTTCAGCAATTTCATAAAAAATCACAAAAACACAATCCCATTCTACTGCTTCTCTTTCAAAAACAATGCAGTCATGACTGCCTTGAAAAGTACTGATCAATTAGCTTAGTTTGTAAAATTTCAAAAAATTAAAACATGTGTAAAAGTCAATTTCCTTCCTGGATTATAGAATAAAAATCAACAAGAGACCTGGAAGGAGAAATATAGCTTAATATTCTTTTGCATGAGAGAGGGAGACACATGTTTAGAGGAAGAAAATAAATCACAATTGATTGATCGGTTCATTCATTCACTCATTCATGATTGAAACCACCATAGTGCTTTCTTCTTTTGTGGTAATTATGACTTTTATGTTTCCCTTATAGAGAAAACACTCTAAAAGTTAGAGTCTTTCTCCTTCTTATTTTTGTTTTCCAAGAGCAGATAACACTGATGTCTTTCATCAATATGTGTTCAATAAATAACAGACAAATCAAAACTCAGTCTTATACCAAATACCCTTAAAAGGCAGTAAATATATTTCTTAAGAATCTGTATGGGCCAAGCTCGGTGTCTCAGCCTGTAATCCCGCGCCTTGGGAGGCTGAGGTGAATGGATTGCCTGAGCCCGCGGTTTCGAGACCTGCCCGGGCAACTTGGAGAGACCTCATCTCTACAATAAATCAAAAAATCAGCCGGGTGTGGTAGCGCATGCCTGTAATTCTGGCTACTTGGAAGGCTGAGGCGGAAGGATCACCGGAGCCCAGCAGGTGGAGGCTGCAGTGACGGGGAGCGGTCACTGCACTCCTGTCTGGGTGACAGAGTGAGATTTCAACTCAAAAAAAAAAAAAGAATCTGTATGACACTGTAACTCAAAGATATGCAAAGTAGACATTTGAAGGAGGAAATAAAATATTAGTAGTTTTTATTTTAATTACATATTTTAATATATTTATGTATATGTTAATTGCATATGTAACTTTAATGTAAGCAATCCCATGCAGACAATGTGGATAAATGTGCAAAACACTTTTACTTTTGCTAGCAGTGATTTGTGATCACTGCCTCATCTTATTCACAATTATTCACTACCATATACAAGGAAATCAAATTTAACCTGAAACTATCACTCTGTTGTTCTCTTTCCAACCTCATTTCATAATAGTCTCCTATCTTCCTTTAGAGTGCATTATGACATGGGTTTTCAAAGATAATTTGTTAAATGAAGGAATTAAGGAAAAAAACAACCAAATACCTTAATATTAACATTAGCTAACATTACTCTAACATTAAAGGTAATAAGAAAAATAACTTACACTATAGCACATTGTAACTTCAACTACGGACTTTAAAGACCCTCAAGGTTATGGTGCAATATAAATCCCAAAAGACAGGTACTAAAACTTAGGATACAAATATATTATACAATTTTCAAAAAATTAAAAATACATTTAGTTACTTATATTGCTTTCTTATAAGAGAGTTTGAGAAGATTCCCAATTTTAGGTATTTCTATGGAAAATAATACAAATCATTTTATATGAAAGAACTCTAACTAGATCTAGGCAAGAAAACTTGTAAATATAATTCATTATTTAAAAATAATGACAAACACAAATGTACTTATCAGTATCCCACTGGTATTTCATTGAAAACACAGCGTACTGGCTTTCATCAGAATTCATGTAAATACCCTGGATTGGGTTTGCTTGATAAGATTTTGACAGAAAATTTTACAGTGAATTGTATTGAAATATAATAAGATATGCATTTCTATTCATAGATTTTGAAATATGTGGTTTAGTATAGCTTGTGTTTATCTTTAAGCAAAACAGTGTATATCCTTTTCCATAAAAAGGTTATTATGATACATAGAAAATGAGATTTTGTGTGTGTTTACAACTCTATGACCTTTTTATTTAAAACAAAGTTTGTTTTTGTCATGAACAGAGTATATAAAATAAGTCATATTACTGACACTGACATATCTTTGCATCCTTCAGTGAAGATAATATTGAATTTGGCTCCTGTTAGGTAAAGAAAGAAAATTGTATAAATGTGAAGCAGTGATCTACAGGGTCACAAGCTGTCTACCCGAGACATGCACATTTGTTGGAAGATAATTAAAGTACAAAATTTGCAAATATCTTCAGTCAAACAGATTATAACACTATTCTTTGTAGAATGCAACACACAGCTTCTATATATGGAAAGACAGCATACTCTTGTATGGTGTTTCTTAAACAACTTTGTGTGGAAATGAACTGATGAGATACGAAGGGTTGGATGGTTTGATAAAAGAGAAAAACAGAATAATAAATCTCCTCACCCTAAGACGACTGTCACCCAACTTATGAAATTCATTGAATGCCCAAGGAAATAAATCATGTTTACTTTGGTTTGTTATAATTTTGTTGGAGAAATGAGGAGATAAGTTAGAAGTAGGGGGTGATCAGAGAAAACAGAAAAGAAGTAAGAAACATTTTCAACAAGAGGTTTGGATTTATGTTAGGACAATTATATTTACTAAGTGACCTTCATCCAATTAACTGTCTGTAACTTTTCTCATTTGTTGAATCAGGGAAACTATTTGCAATAACCACTTTCTGCTAGGTTCACGACAATAGAAAACAAACAGGCCAGGCTCGGTGGCTCAGCTTGTAATCCCAGCACTTTGGGAGGCCGAGGCGAGTGGATTGCCTGAGCCCGCGGGTTCGAGACCCACCCAGGCAACCTGGCGAGCCCGCATCTCTATAATAAATATAAAAATTAGCTGGGCGTGGTAGCATGCACCTGTAATTCCGGCTACTTGGAAGACCGAGGCAGAAGGATCACCGGAGTCAGAAGGTTGAC